GGAGAGTGGAATGAGAGTCGTAAGCTCGGGCTAAATGTAAGAAAGGTCGAGGTTATTTACATTTTATACTCTCAGCTATTTCTGTCTCATTTGGAAGAGTCTGACACACTAATGAAAAAAAAGACAGAATGTTCGTGAATATTCAGCTTAGAGCACTTTTAGATTGGTTATCGTAAAAACCAAAACCAAACTGATCTCGACGGCCGATCGGAAGAAACGAAAATACCTTTAAAAGCAATTGAGAACTCACAGTAAAAACCAAATATAACCGGAATGCCAAAAGCGCGGGAAAACGTTGGCAACCAAGTTGTGATTGGTTTTAGTTTTGCATCTGATTGGTTGAGACAGTGGCGCGAGTTTTTCTGGGTCAATCACAGAGCCACAGAGCGAAGTAAAGCAGAGCCAATGCAATCTCGGATGACATTCGTCCGCTCTAAGCTCGTAAAACACCGATTACTGGTTACTCGGTGGGAGACGAAGGATTTTGTATTTTAACCGCGGAAACGAACAGGGTTTCATAAAAATCTTGCGCAAAAACAGATTTATCGAAGTTTATAATAAGTCAACTAGGACTTAACAAAGTAAACTAATCGTTAAGCATTTTGACAAATAATCAAAAAATCACTTTGATTTCGAAATCTGATAATTACTGCTTATTAAACAAAAGCATTGAAGTGCTAATCGCCCTGTTCTTAATTTGAAATGGTAATTAAATCAAGTACTGACAGAAAAAATTACCGCAAAAATAAGTCATTAAGACGTTGCCAAAGAAGGCTTAAGTTAACTTGCTTAGTGGTATTTTTAACGTCACCAGACTAAAAATGTCGGGAAAGAAAACAGGAATAGGCAACAAGGTCATTTGACTAAGAGAAAAACACTCGAAAATTGCATGCATTTTAGTACCTCTCCTATATGAAATGTTTTTCTTTAAAGATTGTATTTTCATTCAAACTAAAACAGCACGAAATTAACAAAACAATAAAAGAGCTTAAGCAAACTAAAATAGCTAAAAAAAACGAGTCCGGAAATACCAAAGGAACTTTGGAAGAAAATTTTTGTCTTCTATCATTTTGAGAAGTCAGAAGTTGCACAATATCAGTTGTTCCTGTCTTATCGCTTCAAGGGGTAAAGTTGTTATCGGTGAGCTCCTCAATCCATCTTTCTGTTGATATTGAGTATTAAAGTTATGGCTTATGCATCGATAGGAAATGTCGTTCTTAGAAAATTGAAAATTACTGCTAAAAAAACAACAACAATGTAATCCCAGAATTCGTCTCTTGTTTATCAAATTGGGCATTTTTTATCAGCAAGGACTTAAGGTTGTCATAATCCGTGACGAAATCATATATTTTGCAATTCTGCTAACGAATTATATATTTTATTAATATACGAGTTTAATGTTCTTCCAGCTGAAACCGGACATTTTCAGCTTCAGCTGCATTCAAAAACAAGAGATTACTCATGAAAATAGTAATGTAATTCTGTAAACAGTAACAATTATAATAAAGACAATAGCCATCGAAAATGAAATTTTCAAAAGGCTTTTTCAGTTTCTTAAACGGCATAGAAAGTCCTTTGTAATCTAGAGAAAAAAATTCTCATCTCATCTGATAAAATCTTATTAAAATACACACCACGTGAATAGGTTTCAAAATGGCTTCTACGCCATTGCCATTCTCTAGTTCAAATATTTGCATATTCCATATTAAAACTTCTATTTCTTTTGTCTACAGTTTTCTTTGAGGCATAATAAATGCAATTCTATCTAAGAAGTATTCATACATTTTAGAACATATTTATTGAACAGGCTAAGAAATTAAAGCTATCGTTTCTTAGCGAAAGATTGAATCGATTCCTCTATACCACTTTCTGGCATTTTTGCTGGCGAGTCGAAAGCTTGTAAAAACACCTGCTGAATAAAATCAATTTTTGCTCACACGCTGTCAGCGAAATCTCAAGCAAGAGGATTTCAGTTTCGAAGGCGCTTCTAAGCTGAACATTTTTTCTATTGAAATTCAACGACTGGCCATTCGAAATCAAATTGTTGCTCTCGAGTCATATTAGAGCCATTAAATTAAGGGGGATGTAATAAAGTCACAGATCTGCATCGATCTTAAAGTCGAAACAAAAGGTAAACACATCAACCAATTTATACAAAAACCTCTTTTTCTTCAGTGTGTGCGGCTGTCTTTAAGCTTATCGATTCCTGAAGTTCATAGCTTCCCTCGTTTCGCTTTTTCAATCGATATACCAAAAATATGAGCAGAACTACAGCGCAAGCTGCTCCTGCGAGAAGCGCTACGAGAATCTCGATCGTCACAAATCCGAAGAGAGTCTTTCTCTGTTCTCTTTCGTTCGGATCTTTTTTCATCTTTACATCGCTCTCTCCCTTTGGAGTCGTTTCTTTTGTTTTGGGTCGGTTTGTGGTCAGTTCTGCAGGATTTATTGTCGCTGAGCGACTAAGTAACTCGCTGAAAGTTTGAGCAGCGAGAATTTTGGACGAAACAATAGACGTTGGATGAATTGAGCTTTTTACGACCCGTGTTGTAACTACACCATCGATGCTGGCTCCCATTGTGTGAGGAGTACTGTATTGCGAATTAATAGCGACAGTCTCGCTCGAATTTCCGTCATATTTTCTCGTTGGTGATGTGTCAATCTTGACCTTACTTGGCGAAGCGGATAAAACATTTGCTCGTTTGGTCTGTTTGAGGGCACGTGTCGATGTGATGATAAATGTCTGTCCAATTTCTGTAGGATCCACACTATTTTGCACGCTCAAACTTTCATTATTTTCGACGTCTCTCTTTGATATCTTCCTTTCTTTGATATCTTCGTTTAAAAGTACAGTTCCTAGTTTCGCCTCGCCTCCGTTGTTTGCACTTTCGCTGAGAGCCGTGTTCAGGGCTCCGATTTGAACAAGCTTGCCTTCGAAACAACCAGAAATTAACAAACTACAGACGACAACTCGGAAAACCCTTTCAGCAAGTTCCATACTTCAATCGACAACACTCTACTCTGAACGATGTCATAAATAATTAACTCATCTCTCGTGCGCCTTTCTCAGTTTTTTCCCTCTCTTCGTCAAATGTTGGTCGATTTCCGACAAGCGTTGACGTGCGTTTGAGCTGAATGGGTTTAGCGCAGTGCTTATCGCGGTTTCGACTTCCTCTGTGAAAATTTCACTCTTGAACCATAGCGTGTTTACATTCTGCGGTTGCCTCTTGTAAGCAACAGAGCGAGAAATTGTCTGAGCAGAGGTCGCGTGAAACTTAATAGGCTCGGCATGCTCCGTAACAGACGAACAGAATTAAAAAATTGGACTGTCACAATAGACCATAATGCTGGGGTCGTTTCGTGCAAACACTTTAAGAAGGTCGACTACTAAATCTTTTGTTATGCTAATCGAATTGTTGTCCACTTTCGCTGTGACTTTCGGTTGAAGTTTTCACTCTGTTTATAGTCCTATTACAAATATCCCTCATCTTCCTTAATTCGTCTCCCATTAAAGTGGAAAAATTCTTCGGAGACAAAAATAAATGTTTTTCTTTTTGATGATTGACGTGAAGGCTTTTGAATTTTAAAATCACGTGTAATATCAACATACATCAGGAATATTCAAATGCGGCCCAATTTTGCTTGTATCATTCATTCGAGGTACGCTTAGGTTTCTATGGAAAGAAAACCTCGCGAGGCAATTGCATGGAACGTACTCTTTTTTTTATTTTTACAAAGCACCAGGGCTACACACTAGACCATAAAACACGACTCAAAATGCTTTTAAATATTATATCATTTATGTTTCGCGCATCTTGATAAGACGTTCACAGCCTCTTAAAAATTTATGATCTAATCAGAGCAGCAAGAAACGATAAATAATTTATGATGTAGTCTATTGTAAACATAACCATCGCCAAATTATTAAGAATGTGTGTTTTCTAGCTGTTAACTAGTTCCACGGACGTTCTCTTCTTCTACGTCATCTATCTTTCTTTTTATGGGGGGAATGGTGGGGGCTTTTTCTCTCGCGGATAGTTGAGTCTAGTGAATAATTGATATGATTAATTTTCTTAATACTGTAAAACACCTGGATGTCAAAATTTTGTCGTACCAAACAAGAGTAATAATATCAACAAAAACCTCAAGTCTAATTTCAAATGAACCGACAGACATCTCGACGAAGAACAATTAAATTATTCCGCCTATGAGAAGAAAAAAATTACCAGAAAACGTTAATTCGTATCGACTGATGAGAAAAAAATTAATTCTTCATTCCCAGACCTTGCTCAATGATCGGCCTCGGAGCGTATAAACGTATAGGACGATTTCAATGCTACATCTTCACCTGTTTTGTGCGCCCGCGTTTCTCGAGAGACTTTAAACGCAAAAGTGACGAATCAAGCCATGTTATGTATGACATTTTCACTTACGCTTGCGGCGTAGTTGTAACGTATAAGGCTCTCTTTTGTACTAATCTCAGGCGAGATGTGCCCCAGAAACTATAATTTATGATATTTATTTTTCGCCTTTACAAAGCATAATTAAAAGCCTACTGCCTACCGCGTTCTGAGATTCCAAAAACTAATTAAACAGTTCGAAAATTGTCCTCAACTGCGTTAAAAATTAACGTGTAGACGCCACCATTTTGAAAAATAACGCGGTAACCTGGCCACACTCTTAAAACCAGGAGGCGCGGCTCATAAGAAGCTTAAGCTGTTGCTTCTCTGGTTTTCGCAAGAAAGGAAAAAAAAAGATAGAAAGAGAGAAAATTATTCTTTTAGCCAAGAATTCGTTTTGGTACAACTAAATTATTCTTAAGTTATTTAAGGGACGGTTATTCACTATTGATGAGCCTCTTTTTAGTATTTCACTGATCGTTAAAGAAAGGCGCTGAGTATTGGTTGTTTCAGTGTTAACTAGTTCAAAAACAGATTCAAAGAACAGATAATAATGAGAAAAAAATCTTTATTTTAGAACAAAAATATATATTTTTTGTTTCAAAATCGCATACAATATTGTTCATACATATAATTAAAAATCCAATGAAATGTGAAAATCAAATCTTTAATTTAAAATCATGTCATGCGAGGACCGTGATTAATATTTCTTTCAACTGTGTGTGTCGTTTTTTTTTTTACCATAATCAGACATTCTTCGAACTAGAGAAGCTCTAATAAAGACCATGAATTTTGGAAGAAATCACGCGAAGTAGAGATGAAAAAATGGAAAATGAAGATAGAGCAATTATCCATTGAATGTCTAAAGTAATCCAAGAATGCACTGGATTTCACTTACTTCGCTCTGTGATTGGTCCAAAAAAAACTCGCACCACTCTCTTAACCCGATCAGATGCGATACTATAACCAATCGCGACCTGGTCACTCGCGTTTTCCCGCGCTTTAGGCTGAATGGTTGCTTACTTTGAGTTCTCATTGGCTAGTAAATGTATTATCCTTTGTTTTGATTGGCTGAAATAAAAAAACTCGATCGAAACGCGCTATACCAGTAACTTGCACCACATTTGCAGCAAATCAGAAGTAAAACTAAAATTAATTGCCGTTTCGCCGAGTTTCCCGCGCTCCAGGTTCTTTCAATTTTTTTAACTTTAAGTTCTTGTTGCATCTTTTTGATTTGTTCTTATCTTCCGATTAGTCATTTTGATTCCTCTGGTTTTGGTTTCATGATATTCGATCGTGAAAGGCGCTCTACATAAATGAATCATAATATCAATATTCACAATTATTGAAAGCTTGCATTATAAACGTTTATATGTTAATGAATACGTAGATGTCTTTACAAAATTGTGATTATTCATCGTGTTGAAAGTTTAACAAAGGTTAAGCTTCAAACAATACTGTAGTTTTCCTCACGATAAACTTATCGGTTTAGCCCTTTACACCCTAACATCAGTATGCATATTCTCCATACTGTTCTCTATACATTTCCTAAGGCGCTGACAAGGAGAATTTGTTCAACAATCAAGTTATTCCTATGACCTCAATGTGTAATCGAAGGTTGATACAGTCAGGAGAAATAAGATGCTAATCACTCTTAGGGGTTAAAAGGTCAATCGCGCGTTTTCTAATTTTCATTACCACTGATGTCTAGGCTCTCATACCGTAATCTTCAAGTTCAACGTTTCAACCTGTGTCGTATTTTGCGAGCGAAATCCCATCAAACAACTGTATAAGTCAGCACCTCACTTATGCTATTTATCACGTCTTCTTCATTTTTTGCCTTCTCTTTTTCTTTTTCCTCATCAGGGGCAGAAACATCAGTATCCTGTTCCTCTGTCTTTTCGTGGACTGGCGCCAAGTTATCATGTGACAAATGGGATGTCTTTCTCCCATTGGTTAAAGTTACACTGGCACCATGATTAACCTGACCCAGGTCCTGGCTCAACCGAGTGTCCGAGGTGGTCTGGCTCGAAGATGTTCCCGCATTACAAACGTACCGCTCGCCCATTTTGTGATTGGCTGTTTGAGTGTTTCTTTCTGGTCTAAAAAATATAATGTAAAGTTTTGGGATAAAGATACATCCCATGCAGGCAAACGCTGCCACGAACAAGGTAAAAGCGACCACAAGGGTGCGGTTGTTTCCCACAACAAAGCGATACGTTAGAATAAACGCCACGAGAAGGATGCAAAGAGCTATGGTGGAGAAACTCAGGGATTTTGCCTCGTTGAAATTCTCGGTTAATCGTCTCTCGCGGAATGCTAAAAGAGTTGCTAACACAAGTACAGTTACAGGATAACAGAAAGCAATAATATGAGAAGCTGGAAAACTTTCGTAACACTCAAGTAATCGCGTGTTATCTTCTTGGTTCCGAAAACGAGCCACTGTTGAGGCTGTTGCTTGCCATGCGATTATCAAAATTCCTTGAATCCCAACTACTGCGCCCACTTCAAGAAGCTGTAGATAATTCGTACTCATGCTAGTAACACGTGAGACCGCTGACTGAAGTAATTTCGTCGAAGTGTTCGACTTGGCTAAGAAAAAAGCCGAGTAGAACACACAAATTAACAGCAGTAACACACTGACAGCTGTGCAAGAACTATTAGTTGGTTTACTTGTTACTTGAACAATGGCCAAGATAAAAGACAGGTACAAAGTAACGAAGAACAGAGTCAGGAGATACAGACCGGAGTCCATAACAACTGGTGTTTTACGTTTTTGGTACAAAATAACTGTCACAGTGGTCAAGATAACGATGCCAACGACCCCAAGCGTTATTGAAGCAATACCGGCGGGGTCGGACGATTTAAGGTAGACTACCGGGCGTAAAACACATTCAGTTCTTTCCTCATTTGCGAAATGGGTTTCTTTACACGGCGAGCAATTAATGGAACCCGACTTTGAGCTCACAGTGCCTTTGAGACATTTTTGACAGTTCCAGCAGCATTCTGATTGGCCAACCACTCGTTCACCTGGTCGGCACACACGGAAGCAGGTGGACAGCGGCTTCTTATTTGAATTCCAGTTGATCAAGCTTTCGTTGACCATAAAACTCACAACATGATTCTCTTTACTCCAGTACCCAACTTCAGCGTATTCCAGGCGTTTGTCTTTGTTTAGTTGAAGATTTCTTATGACGTACTCACTGGCAGTGCGTTCGCCATTTCGGTTAAATTTGACTCTGTTGAAATCAAATCCTTGGAAATGAACCCTTGACGCGGACTTGAACAATTTCTCCGGGGTAATAATCTGTGAGCTAGCGTTTGAACACTGTTCTGGCGAATGCGACTCGTTGCAAGTAAAAATATCATGCAATGCATGACCTACAACAAAAACAGCATCTATAACATTAGCTACGAAATCTTTGCCGATTTCGTGGCCTGAGGGAAGCACTGCATTAAGACTGCATTTAGGTGTCGTGGGTTGCAACGGATCAGAGTATGATCTGAGGGTCGTATGGCAATGCAAACTTTCCTCCAAGTACTCGGTAAACCACGAATTATTCACAGCCTCTCGAACTGAATATTCCCGTACAAACCTTTCGAATCCTTCCACCTGTTTTGAGCGAATTGAGAAGCTAAACAGTCCCAGTAGCATAGACTGGCTCACGTTCAAATTGGCCATCTCAGAACTGAGGGAGCTCCATCCATCACTCGCTACCCAAGTGCGATCTGAAACCTCCATATTTTCGGCCTGTTTTAACAGTCTTTCTCCTTGTTCGAAGTAACTAAAGACAATAACAACTTTCGCTCGCTCCGCAGTTTTTAACTTGTTCATTGTATCCGCAATTTGCCTGTCGGAATTAGGTGAACCAAATGCGATGTATTCATCGTTGGCAATACAAACATTCAATTTTTTAGCTGCGGTTTTAAACGCGGCGGCCCCCAACTTCCCGTAGTCGTCATCACTCGCGATTAAAAACACGTAGTTCCACTTAAAATAATGGACGAATTTCGCGATTGCTTGCGCTTGAAATTCGTCCGAAGGCACAGTTCGGAGAAACGAGTTGTAACGAGTCTTATCACCGAGAATACGGCTCGTCGAAGCGTAGCTTATTTGCGGAATGCCGTACAAACCCAGTAACCTTGCCACTGGGATCGAAATCCACGAAACTGCAGGACCGATAACCGCAGAAATTCGTCGATCTCCTGCGTGGGAAACGCTGCTGTTTTGACAACAATCGTCGCGCGATATGCAAATCGAATTCGGTCGATATTTCGAAACGATTTGTATGGCATAACTCATCGATCTAGGGATACTTTCGCATGTGTCCTCAATTTGGTACCCAATAGTTTTGTTTGGCAAAAGCGAAGTCGAATTGTTGATCATGTCGACCGCGTATATCATTGCCATCATCCAAGTGATTCCGTCAGGTTTTAAATGTTCACACTTTCCACCTTTCTGTGACGTTATCGGGAACAATCCCTTTAGCATTACATCGCCATCTTTCCAAATCCACTTGTGCTCATTGCTATGGAATTGCTGATGAGTAAACGCGAGGAAATGGAGGGTAAAAATTGCTCGGATGAAACAGTTGCCAACGAAACAGGTTGAAATCCCCATTGTTTCCCAACTCAGTGAGTCGCGCTACCCACAGTCAAATCTTCAATCACCTAAGGAAATTAATTGTTTCTGAAGACATGAAATCGCGCCTTACAAGCTGCCTGTTTTAATTTTTTCCGGTTTTCTTCTCCCAACACTGCAGCTGTCGATTTCGTTGTCGCGTGTAAACAATGGAATAGAACAGGCAGTGGGCTATACATACAACAATCTGTCATTTCATCAAGTCAATGACCACCCATACATGTACAAATTTTCTGACGACCGATCTTAGATTCGAGAGCAAATGTTGACCGCAACGGACGTACTTATTACAGACTTCATAGGAACGGATTTTTAGAATCAAAAAAGGGCGCTCCGTTAAACCTCCGTGGTTTAGCACAATGTTTGCTAATTAAAATACAAATTTGAATGGTGAAAAATTCATTTCTTTTCGACTAAGTAAATTTTTAAGTGTCATTAGTAACCGAACAATGTTCGTTTCTACCTTGACAGAATGTAAATAATATTAACGATAGCTTTTTTTAATTTAGTTCTCTCCTGAATTGCCTCAGAAAGGCAAACTCCACTGATAATTCAACGAAGAGTACTGCTAGTAAATTATTTTATTCTTTTGAGGGAGAACTTGGCTTTTGGCATGGTTAGAAAGATTGATTGTAAAACTTGTAGTCTTCTATTTCATTTTTCAATATTTCTTTCCCCAAAGAAAGCCGCTGTTAGTCTTGACGAGATAAGCTGTCAAAAATACATGCCAAAAATTGGCGCCCAAGTGATAGCCGTAGTAATTATTATCATTACCTCGCAAGGAGATTCGTTTAAAAAAAAAAAGCAAAAAGAAAAAAAAACAAATTGCCGACTCCTCTCGAAATTTTACTTCAATCTCTGATCATAGAGAGGTAAAATTAACACCTTGTTCTGAAGGATCAAAAATAATTATGTTTTCATCAAGGGAAAAATTGGCAGCTCAATAGATAAATAAATATTCCAGGCCATGTTTAATAAGTGGGTGAACATTTTTCAGTCAAAAATAATTGTCATATCTTTGAGTGACAGTCGACTAATATGATAAATGCATTTTCCACCTGTCTCACTGTTTCCTCTGGGCCAGTGGCTTTACGATAGATTTCAATATTTATTTATTGTTGTATAAAAAAAATCATTTTTCATCCATATGCATGGAGTCATTTTGCTTAGCACGACTTTACGTGATCAGCGCCTATTACAGCTAACCTCTAAAAAGATATCTCTTCGAGAAAACTTTATAAAAACTGAGTAATTTGCAAGGGTTATATTTGCATTTTAAATCTTCTGATCTGATTTCGCTTGAAACGGGTTTAAATTAGATAAAATTGAACGCGTTAGCCCTTCATGTGACCCCTAACACTGTCTAGTATCTAATTTCTTCCTTAAATATCAGCCTTGAGATACATATTAAGGTCATGAGGATAAAGGAGTTGATCACCAACTGAAGAAGCTCTTAATAGTTAAGCAAATTTTCCTTGTCAGTACCTTAGGAAATGGATATAGAGAACTAAATGGAAAATATGCAACATAACAACTTTTAACGTTTTCTTTATTCCATACAATTTCAAGATAAGGACGCCTACAAGAATATTATTTAGCGTGACCTATTCCTATCTTTCGCAAGTTTTAATTTTCTCTTGGTTTAATTGTTTACTTTTCATGATAATTTCCCAACAAGGATTAGATTGCGTAATAGTAACCTTTTCATTTCTATGATTAAATCGTCCGTCCTCTTTAAATTGCTTCTCTTCAAATTTGAAGCTCTAATGAATGACTTTTATGGAGATTTTAATTTACATAGTTAACGAAAACTACTGTTTTTAAAATTCTCATCTCTCATGGTGCCTAACAAAGTGTTTACCTGGTGTCCTGTCTTTTCCGACAAAGATAGATTCAGAAATAGCTTAAGTGAGATTTTCCTTAGGGATGAAAGGGAAAATTGATCTCGTTTATTATCTTCAAACATGAATAGTACCCAGGACGGCATTGTCCTCGAATAATAGAAACGCAAGGACTCTATCAAACATTTATAAGGCTTTCTGTTTTAGAATAATATCAGTATGTTATTCGTAAATTTAGAAACATGGATGTGATGCTGCGAAGCCGTGTGCTTTCTTGGGATTGAAAGCGAGGGAAATTTCATTTAGTTTTGCATCGCGTGGAAACGGTGAGAGTCTGGTAAGAGTGTGAAATTGTTCTTCAACCTAACTTTTGGCCTAATCTAGATCCTTTTGGTGTCAAATTTTTGGTTAGATTTCGCTTCAGTTTTCAGCTGCGGGAACCCGTTAAATGGAAGATCTTGTATGCATATATGTCTTTAAAAAAAACGTTTATTTCAGATAAGAAATCCACTAAGCGTCGAATAAAAAGGCCTTGTCGAGGAACAAGAAAATTTCAAATTACGGAGGACATAAATGAACAAAACATTGAAAAAACTGAGCCGTAAATTGGAGCACAATTTTTCTATCAGCAATTTATATCCTGCTTGTAACAGCTTGAAAATTCACTATCAAAACTTCCTTTTATGCTATAAAAATATTTTGCAAAAACCGGCATGAGCCTCTCATTTGTATTTAAAAAAAAAAAAAACTAAGAAAATCTGTCATAATAACCAAGAGTAATCTGAATAACTAACGGAGTCTTCTCCAAACCACACAATGTGGTCAATTTTTCGTAGTGTTGTCATAATTGTTTACTGACACCCCCATTTAACAGAGATAACGTAGACTGTGTGGCAAAGGGAGGAAATGTCTCGCCAAAGGGCGGCTTTTGTTTCTTTTGAAAAGAAAGGCGTTCGTTGCTGAAATTATTTTGGAGGGAAGTTGTAAATATCATGATTCCTCGGGAGGTATTTTGAAAAGATAATCGGGTTGGATGTTTGCTCAGAATAAATAATGACGGCAGTTGATTTCTCAGCGTCCAGAAGTCTTGATGATAACGAGACAAGCCTACAGTCACAAAAGAAAAGATTAAAAAATTTTACGAGCGTGACATAACTAAAATTTGCGGCTTATTTTACTGAGTCAAGGATAGTAAACATCCAACCTTTTGTCAATATTTCAATCCTATAAATATATTTATCAGCCTCTAATTTATTCAGTTTACTTTTTATCTAATAATTCATACATTTATCTGGTACTTTTAATCAAGCTGATCGTGTTATTAAACTGAATCTGTAAAAAAGTGCATATAGCGCTGAGACGATTGCGGTCATTAAGAAGTTCTTCCCTTAACACCTTTGCGAGTTCGCCCACCACCTACGACAAATAAAAGGAATATGCTTTTCCGTAAGAAAAATAGTTACAAGAATTGGGGGCGAAGTGGTAAAGGTAGGGGCGAACTTGCTTTACTTCAAGGGGTGCGCTCTCAAAGATGGTGGGGGGCGGACTTGAAATGAGGCCAAACCTTCATAAAACCAAAGTGAGAAAACTTAAACAAAAGATTCCCGAGTCACTCTAAAATCATTAGCGCATTACCCCATGTAAGAGCTGTAGTGTTGTTAAGTTTCCCCGCGACTCAGGTGTGGCATTTACTACTAGGATGCACTAATTGGTTGGCGGCATTCACTGAACAAAAACTTCAGAAAAGGAAATTTTAAAAGTAAAACACTTAGCTGTCTTGATGTATTGGTAAAACAAGCTGTCCTCTTTTCGCTTGCTTTCTCCACCTTGAAAAAATTATAATGTATTTGCACCTTCCGTGATATGCGTTCACGAGAAAAGTGGAAAGGATAGCCGTCTCGAATTAAAAAAAAAAACCTTGTTCTATTGGACCCGATTGTTCATAGATAAATTGCTATCCGCGGGTAAGGGGTCAACAAAATTTGCTGCGTTATACATCAGACAGATATTCATCTAGTGGGTAGCGTTATCCAGCCTTCAAATGACCATGGCCGTGAGTGCAAACTTTTTAATCTCTTTTCCTTTCTCCTGCCACTCGGTGTTCCTCAATAACTGCTTATATTCGAGGATGGTACATGACAATATTTTTGTCCTTTCCTGCAAAAGTTTTTCAGGGGCGGCGTTCAATGGAATAGATACTGTAAATCGATTCTATGGCCTTTAAAGTGGCAATCTGAAATGGACCAAAAAACTTATTGCAGAGATTTTTGAATTCGTGCATTGATTTCCTTAAATGCTACTCTTTATTTCGACAAAACCTATAGTATTTGTGAAGCTAGTTTTATTAGATTTTTCAAATGGTTTTCTCTTGAAATAGATTTCATTCCTTAATTAATGAACATTGTTTAGCTTTTCTAGAAGTTTTCAGCAGAATCTTTGCTGGGAAAGATAAAAATAGCACGAGTGATTTCCAAAATTTACAGATAGTGATAGCCTGCAGAACAGGCGTATTTTGTTTGCGTTTTACAGGCAAACGGGATAAGCGCTAGGCGAGTACGAAGCGCGACTTGCGCGTTAGTCGAACTAAAATGGTAGACTGTCAGACGCTTTCGATTGCCAACATTGTTTAAAAGCCAAGCCGAAGATAGAAATTTGCACCCACTATGAAATAACAAGCGCGGATAATGTTAATTTTTTTTAATGATTGTCGTCTGAATTTTATGTCATCTCACGAATTTGTAAATGCTCAACAAATGATACCATATATTTTAATCCTGCTTGGTGCAGATCAATTGGTCATATTTCATAGTAGGAGATTGTCAAAGACAAATTTAAGACAATCTGTTCGGTGCGCATGATTTAGAAAGCGTAAGGCAATGAAGGACTGTGGATAAAAATGGGCAATCTGCTTAGTGAAGCGCGGGAAAATGAAAATGGTCAAGTCGCAATTATTTTTAAATTGAATCTGATTGGTGTAGAGGATGATGTGGGCAATTACGACCCATCAAACTGAGGTGAATCAAAATCAGTGTACTTTTGGATTACCATAGTGATACCTTCATTTGTTGTGATAAGCTGTTGTGGTAACATCGGATTAGATTTAACACCGGAGACCACAAATCTTGCAAAACGTTTCTGACAACTTTATCACTAAAACTAGCTTTCAATCAATACGTTTACAGAGAAGAGAACAGATTTGCCCAAGACATAAAGCCAAAGTGTAAAAATGACGGTAACATGTTAAAAGCCTCTAATTTTTTTCCATTTACTTAAAGGGCAAATGATGCAAACAATAAATTGCTTAAATTGAAAAGCTTAAAATTCACTGAAATATAATCGTAAGCAAATGTAATAAAATTTCATTATGCAAG